TACGACGGATATCAAGCTGATCAGGCTGTAAGTCCTTGTCATCTCTTTTTTTGATGATGTTTACGTATACGTAAACCCGATCAGACTGTGTGTACTGCGCCGGGCTGAACATGGCGGTATGCACACAATGGATGACAGATGGCAGCAATTTCTTGAGACAAGCAACTTTGCTTGTCTCAAAAATTCATTTATCTCAAAATTTTCTATGGTTTTACGATTTCGAGTTAAGGAGGCATTACTGTATTTATGTTGCAGTTCCAGGAAGTGTGTGCGGACGTGTGTAATGAGCGCGTGCGTTGCAACTTCTAGGAAAAGACATGTCTGCCATGCCCATGGTATTCCGCAGGCAAGCAGTGTTCGAGTGGGACACTTGTTTCCTCCACTAGGCCCCTAACATGAAGCGAGTAGGAGTGTCGAAACGAAGGATGGTTTTCGAACAGAACATATTATTGATTGCGGAGTATGGTGGGTGTTCCTTGTCTGGTTCACTTTCAGGTTCTAGTATACAAAGGACATGTAACATCGCTGCAGATAGAGCGACCACTCGTTCAATTCTACCTAGAGGCTTTCTACGGGGCTAGTGCGAAAGACACCTGTAGGGACACGAATGCCCAAATGGTGAACGGGGTCAAGCATTTGCAAAGTGCTTCGTGTTACAGACTAATACACGACCACCCCATAATCTAGACGAGTGCGTGTGAGGCATTTAACAAGACTCATCAGACATTTCCTATCACTTCACGTAGGGCGTGACAACACTTTCAGAATGTTCATGGTTTTTAAACACTTGTTTCTCCGATTTTTGATGTGGAGTACAAATGTTAATTTCATGTCTAAAATTATACGTAAAAATTGGTAGGGTTTTCACAGGTATCCGCTGACCGTGCAGGTGAATGTCTAGATCTGGCTGAAGACCTCTCTTTCTTGAGAATAAAACGCATGTTTGTGTATTAATAGACCTCTAGAATTTTTCACGTGTTAACTGAAAATCACTTGAGAGTTTTTATTTAGGTATACTCATATGTTCAACAGAGATCTTAATGTTGAAGTCACAACATCTTGAACTGCTACAAAAGCGTACTAATTCAAAATGAAGAAGGGGGAGCATTAATTTTCACAACAGAGTAGGCCTACTAGAGCTTTTTTTTTTTTAATGTGCAAACTAATGCGGTTTGATTCACGTGAACATTTGACGAAGAGATTAACTTTGTCAGCGCAAATGTGATGTACAAATAAATTTCGTAAAAAAAAAATTTTATCTACGCATCAAAAAAGTGAATATTGAGGTTGAATGCAGCAATTTTTTAGAAACAAAAAACGCTTTCATAGGTGGCAGGAAATGCCTTGTGCTTATGAACATAAATGAAAGCAAAAAAACTGCAGCTAACCTTGATATTGGGAGTCTGCGTTGGATCAGTGATGTACCTCACCACCGCCTGAAATTGGTCACCATGTGGAAAACAGTCCCTGCAACCACAAATAGTGAAATAAAGGTTGATACGAAACCTCTGGATCCATCAAGCATTTATCAAAATGGTAAAGTACAAAAGTAAGGCTGCAGCAAGACTGTCAAGCTTTTTACAACCAGTTTTTCATTTTTTTGCAACAATCAGGATGCCTCATGCACTAAGCAGCTGTACCAAGGTGCTGCCTCGATGGCTACAGTAAAAAAGAAGCACCATGACAGTAGTATTACAATGTTTGACATTACAGTCAACATAAGAAGCTCAAAAAATACAAAATAGACAATCCTTGATGGGCAAGTTCTGCCAGCACTTCACTCACGAAAATTTAGTTTCATAAAATTCCAATTAACAGCGATAAACATTATTGAGTGGAAACACAAAGGGATGTCAAAAGAATATGAGAGCTGGTTTCAGGTGGACCGATATATCCATGTCATAGCTACTCCATACATTGAAATGCAATCAAATAAAAAACGTAGTTACCGAATTATAGACAGGATCTTCTGAATCTTCATTTGTAGCGAGCTTAAAAGGTCCGTTCCCGTCTTGATGAAGAGACGGGTAAGGAGAATGTACAACCAGCTGTGCAAGTCTGCACTGTGGACGTGAATAAGCTCCCCCAAGGCCTCCAAGAAGAGTGTGAACACCTGGATGAAAAAGAAACATCTCCTGGAACCTTTGCCACACACAACACAGCCAGCTTAAGGGGACAACACTAATGTGCCAAGGCCCGCCCGTCAACCCTTCTCCATGTTCATACTATACTTTCGTGTGCCCGAGGCTTGTGATTGCCAGTAGTGCAAATGGAGATCTTAAGCCACTTGTCGTTCACGAAAACTTACTATGGGCTGAAGATAAGAAAACATCTGACCCTTAAATAAAACCTTGCAGACTTTCATAAGCAACTTGGCGTATAATGGAAGTGATAGCAAAGCCTGTAAAACAGCCTCTCAGAAAATAAACAACCAGAAGAATCAATTTTCCATTATTTAAACAACAGTTGTGCTTGTCTCTCCCTTTTTATATTTTACCAATCATCAAAATATGGTCGTGCAACAGTTTTATTGTTATGATGTGGTAGCAACATATAAGAATATTCATAATGAACTAATGAAATCGAGTACTTATTAGATTAGTGTAAATACCATACTTGAAAGCATAGCACTGATCAAGCTTAGCCAAATAATTGCTTTTTTTACTCCTTTCCTCCCACTGTAAGCATACTTCATTTAGTGTTTTCATGCGACATATTTAGATGCACCTGGCAAGACGAACAAATGAAGTTGGTCCTTTCAGGTTCCTCTTAAAGAGAGTCTACTGTACAGTAGAGACAACTTATAACATAAGTAACGGGAGTCGCGAATATCTGCACTGTAGGCGGTACCACACTACAACCAAAACAAACTTTTTCAAGGGTCACTCTTGCGACAAACGTGTTGAGCATGCCGCCTCGCTTGAATTGAATCGCAAATCACCATCAGAGTAGTAAGACGGTAAGTTGGACCAGTTGGTTAGGATCCAGGGCGGTCTCAAGGTGTGCCAAGGAAGATGAACGTTCAAGGTGTGTTTCGGACTGTGTTAATACTATTGCCAAAACGGGAAAGGCGTGGGGGGGGGGGGGGGGGGCACGGACTCACTAAGGCAGCTAGTTGATTTTCTTTGTGAAAACAAACTGCATGTACTAGTAGCCGACAAAGAAGGAAACTTTGCCATTATGAATTCTGAAGCATACTCACTGAAAAGCGAGGCCGCAGTTAAGAAAAATATCAGGCGTGTCAATGTTAAGGCCACAGGAGTAAAGCACCGAGCGCTTTCCTTGATAGAAGGAATGAATCTGCAACGTTTGGCGGCCAGCGTAAAGAGGGCGAAAAACCTGGAGTTAGAAGTTTTCTTTATGGTGAAAATGCACAAGGAAGACATGCCCCTTTCCGTATACCGACCCTTTCCGTATACCGAATTCGGATTCTGTGTGCGAGTACCTCAAAAATAACTCGAGCCTACGTAGTGCCTTTAGTGACGACGTGGAAAATTTATATTATTCCCTTTCGCATTGCCAGGTTATGAAATGCATAAAAGCCTTCATTGTGTTTGACAACAATGAAGAATCTTTCATCGATAGTTGCAGTATATCTTTAGAATAATTTCTTGAACTTTTGTCATTTTACCTTGAAAGTACCTTTGTGTCGTGGTGGGGGGATCTCTATGTACAAAAGTCTGGTGTCTGCATAGGGTCGAGCGTGGCCCCTATTATTAGTGACATTATTTTAGGCTACATTGACAGGCAACTGGAAGGTCACCTTAGTAAGTGCTGCAGTGCTGTTTTTCGTTACATAAACTATTTTGTAATTTTTTCCCACAATGACATTGATCACATTCTCAATTTGTTCAGTCAGCATGGTATAGGCCTCACCTTCACTCACGAAGTCTGTAAGGATTACGAGCTACAGTTTCTGGACCCAAAGCTAACTTTTGGTAAAAAATCATTTGTGTTGGAAATATGACCCAAGATCAGCGAGGCCTACCTTGAACTACAAGTCTGGCCTTTCTAAGATTGTGAAGAGAGCGATTGCAAAGACAATCTTAAATGCGTCGCTCAGGAAATCCTGTGTGCATGTGTCGAACACTGCTTTTCATAACCAGGTAAAACGCTTAGTAGATGCTGGGTATCCTGACAAGGTGATTTCGTTTGTGTGTGAGTCGATGGTTCGGAGCATTAAGCTTGTGAAACACAGAGGAGCTCAAGAAAATTCTGATGGAAAAAGAAAAAGAGCAGTTTTTCCTTATGTACACAAATTGGCGCATGGGCTGAAAAACGTAGGCTCAAGGTATGGTGTCGACGTTCTTTTTTTTTTGCCAAGCATAAGAGATCGCATTTGCCCGATGATTGATCATGCGCTGAGGAACAAACAAGCCAAAAGGAGATGCGCTGTGAATCATAACAAGTACATCGCATGCGTAAAAAAAGCTGTGTATTTAACTCCATTATCGTGTGGTAGGGAGTACGTGGGACAAACCAAACGATGTGTGAATGTTTGTTTAAGGGAGCATGAGTTATCTCTTAAAGGAATCGCGCGACTTCATCTGCCGGAACATTGCAGGTCATGCGGTTGTTGTCCAATTTTTGAGAGAACCACCATCATCTTCAAGCATCCTAACTAGCTAACAAGAGAAATCGCTGAGGCATTTCATATAAAGATTAGGGGTAGTTAGTGAACCATCCGTCACACTGCATGAAAAAGAAGTTATTTAGGCCAATCTTGTTTATTGCCATGAGTGTGACAACGCCACCTCGGTGCACCTCGTATTCTGCGCATGTGATGTAGGCTGCCAGTACCTATATACATACTTTTCACCACGTTTTTTTTCCAATAAACAACAGTTGTGAGTCAGTGCCGTCTTTTCTTTCTCTTTTGCTCCTTCCCTGTCCTGTATTTTTTCTGGTATTGCGCTGTAAGTAAGTTCACCATTAGAGTGCTACATGTACCACTATCGTTTTCATAAGTGGTACCAACCCTTTTAATCAAGTGCAGCCATCGCAAAGAGTTGGGTTGATTTCGTACTAAACCGCAACTCTGAATGCGACCGCAACCAAAATGCAACTGATGCCGATTAGGCCTAGCCTACTGTTCGGTATGTTGTCATGGGAATTGTCTAAGACACGAAGATCCAGCATCGAAAAGATTGCATCAAGCACTGCACAAAGAATAGCGTGCGTGATACAAAGTTCACGTTTGCGGCCGGAAGATCAACAGCGACACGAACGCCCACAAGTTTATGTATAACATCGAACTGGCACGCAAAGGCGAAAGCACAAGGTAGCAAACACGTAGTTGATAAGGATGGGACCACACGTGCCATGTTGAGTCCTGTGAGATTGTTGAACCACTAGCAACGCTAGTACACTGTCCAGCAGGAGTACGGTCACTAGCCAGAGGCGCTGCCAGAGATGGGCACGTGCACTGAAATCGCACATTACATGGGTTTCTACCACCTTTGCCTCCACCAAAAATGTGACTGCAATGGCCGGAATCAAGCCCACACCTGTGGGTCCGCAGCCGAAACGCAAAATGTGCGCAGTTCCTTGCCCCGTCTCGAGGACCTATAGCAGCGCGAAGCTGAACGTAAGCGACACTCAGCTGAAAGTGTATAATAGTTAATTTCTCCTCCTCCCGGCTGGCCACCGCAAGCGAGTGTATTGTCAAAAAGTTTTGGAATCTAATTATCATTTCTTTTCGTGCCAACTACATCACCAAGGTGCTATTTAAGCAACCATAAGATCTGTAACATGCGATGGTAAAACATGGCGATTACCTCCAGCAATATTCGATCAGGATGCATCCACTTGGTGCCACTGCAGCAGAATGTACATGTGAAGCTAGCGAAACGGCCGCGAGCGCATCATGAGCGTAGCATGTAGCCATGTTACGTGACACGCATCTCATGTTTATCATGTTTGCACCAGTATCACATTTTCATCATTCATTCACGTACTGTAATACCAAATTTGGTATATGTAACGCTAGCGAAACGGCCGCAAGCACATCATGAGCGTGGCATGTAACATGCTTTGTAAACAGTTTTGTAACATGCCATGTAAACGAAACCACCGCAAGAGCTGCAGGACCATGAAATGTAAATGACATTCATGACATCCATGTCATGATTTTCATGTTATGACTAGTCATATGTGTTCTTCATACAGTCATATTATGCCATACCAAGTTTGGTATCGGTACCATTATCAAAATGGCCAGGAGAGCTAAAAGTCGTAGGCAGCTAGAAAGATAGATACACTCACTCAAAGTCGCTAAAGTTCGCTGAGAAATGCTTCGCATTTAAAAACACGCTGACCCGGCACAACATGACGCAGTAGTGCACGGGGGAAAGCGATCGCAACCAGCACGGTCTGCTCGAGATGAGCTTTCTAGTGCCCCTAGAAAAAGTTTTCGCTCTTGGCTTCACGCTGCTTATGGACACCACCCTCCGCTCTTTTCACTACCCAATACTTCTAGAGCACTGTAGCGCCCGTGCAAATGCTTATCTGTTCATGAGGCAACCGCCCTCCTCCCTTATTCAGTGAACCCACGCAGCGTGGCACGGTCTTTTCAAAATGAGAGAGTTTTATGCCGGGCTGCACGACGGCTCCACTGAAAAATATATACCAAGAGATTGCAAAGAAAAATACCAGCAGGCAAGCATTTGTCACGCGGAATCGAACCAGCAACCTCTCGTTTCTCAGCGCGCTGCGCTCCCACTACGCCACAGAGCATAAATTGTCTGGATTGGTAACGGCAAGCCATATATATACACCATACATTGTATGGCAGTTCCGAGAGCTTCGAAACTTTATTGCGTTTTCGTTATCAGTGGGGAGATAGCGCGACAGGCTCGCCCAGGGCGCACTCAAAAGGTAGTCGTCTCTACGAAGCTCCGCCTCCACAAAGCATGGTCTCTCCTTCACACATACTTATCAGACTCGCGATTTGGAAGAGGAGCAGGGTCACTTTGTACGCTGCCATAGCTGCGTTTACGAAAGGAGCGCACTGCTGACACACGATGCAGGAAGAATTGCGAGAGTTGTTTGCACTTGTTCTGTGTATACTTCTGTGCTTGTTTCCAGCATCTTTTCTGTTTGAACAGCACACTT